CACCATGGTGGAGATCATCGCCGACCACCCGGCCGAACTTGTGCGCACCGACAGCCCCAACTTCCTGTGCTCTGTGCTGCCCTCGCACTGGCGTTGCAACAAGACCCTGCCGGTGGCCTTCAAGGTGGGACGCTGCGACCGCCCCCGCCCCCGGCCCCTTCCCTGCCAGCCTCTCAGTGTGCTCCCGGCCCGCGTCCTCCGTTTCTCTGCTTAGCCGGCGGACGGATGCCCAGGGCTAGGTGCTACCTGTGTCCACCCCAGTCCCCAGGCGCCCACGGTCCCCGGCGGCTGCTCCTCGCCTCTTCCCGACTGGTGTCCCACGTTCTGGACTCCATTCCGCACTTCGTGCACGCGCCGCCAACCCCAGGCCCCCCACTACCCGCGTGCTCCCTGCCGTTAAGGACCCTCCCGGGCTCCGGCCAGCGTTCGCGGGGTGCTGGAGTGCTGGGGGGCGCGGAGTGCTCGGTAGGGTAGCGGGCAGACTGAGCCACACCGGGCCGGGACCAGATCGCTAGGAAGGCGGGGTGCCCGGGTCGCTGTGCGGGACCCTGGCTCTGGCCAGGGTGCCGGGGTGCCGGGGTGCGGAAGCAGCTTTGGTTCGCCTGGCTTGAACGCCGAGATGAAAAGTCGCAGCAGTTCTCTGTCGTTATTCTTAGGGGCTCCCCAGGGCTCGGGGGTGGGCCCGTTAGCTGCCGGTGGTGGTGGAGTACGGGTGCGGAGCCCCTTCGGCCCGTGATGCCACCAGGTCACCGGGGCCACCCTCGCCAGGGGGAGACTCGGAGCCCGGGCTGTCCACACTTGTGACTGGACTCCGGGGATGCAGCGGAGGTGAGCCAGGCTGGGCGGCGAGCGCGCTCTGGAAAAGACGCCCCAGAGCTAGGGTGGGTGGGCGCTTGCTCGCAGGTCCCCTGGCTCAGGGGTCTGCGGAGAGCGGGGTAAACAGGACCTGGGGGAGGAAAAAGAACCCGAGAGAATACGTGCCAGTGCCTCCGTGGGACCCCAGGGCTGCCCTCCCTCGGGCCCCTGGCAGTGCCCAGTGGTGGATCGCCCCACACCCCACGCATCGCTTTGGGTTCCGGGTGTGGGTGAGTGGAAAAAAAGAGGAGTCTAGGTCAATTAGAGCCAGTTAGCTGGTTAGGTCTGTATCAGAACAGGAATCAGAGTGCATTGTTGTGGAAGGGATGCTGCATTCTGGGCAAGTTTCATTTTGCAGCTGGCTCCAGAAATGATTTTTTAAAAAACCGTCACATTTCTCCAAAGCACTCATCCTGCAGGTTAATGTTTTCTTGCTTGAAATATGGAAGCTCCATAGAAAATTAAAGCGCCATAGAAGAGTATCTTTTAAGATGCTCTTTGTCCAAAGACCCAGAATTTTCTAATTATCCTTGTGGGATGGCGGGAATTTGTTAACGCCCCCAAAATACCCCCTAACCAAACCAAACCAAACACCCCAAACCCTTAATGAGAACAGTAGAAAGTACAAATAAGTAGATATTTTGTCTGTCCGATGCCACACATGAGACTATATGGGCATATAAGGATAGGTGTTTACCCTTTGAAAAGTGTTACTTATTTGATGTTCTGTGTACCGTTCTGCTAGACATGTTTAGGGAGTAACTGTCTCGAGCAATTCTCTTACATTAACGATGCTAAACTGACTTTGAGCATGAGTGCTCTGAGGAGAAAGGATGTTTTTGGCACAGAGTGCTGTTTTAGTTTGTGCTGTTTGGTTTGGTTGTTATCTAGGTTTTCTCACTACTAGCCTTTTGAAGCTGTTTTGAAAATAAACTTCTTTCTTTGCTATTAATCATACATACTAATTACACAGAGAACGTTTTTGTTATTTCAACCAGTAGGCAGACCATAGATAACACAAGACATAGTAAATTGAATAATTTATATTAATAGAAAAATCCATCGAGTTTACCTAAAAATCAACCCTCAGTGTTTTACCATCTCCATATCCATGTTTAATAAGAATTCACAAAGGAGGTTGATGGTGGAGAGTCACTCAAAATAGAAGTTTTGTTTGTCTACTTAAAACAGTGTATAGATATTCAAACCTTCAGATTTTGAGGGCTATTTTTATCATTTTCCCTTGAATGGTGTAAAAACAACCATTTAAAACAAAGCCTTCCTTTTGGAATAAAAGCCTGAGAGCAGTAGACTTTCTACACTCTTGCAACATAATCAAATACATCTGCAAGGGAGAAATAATGTGAAGAAGTCTCTGTTTTAAAAGTGGTGACAGCAATTTGGCTATCATATTCAGAGCTATGTACAGAATAAATTATAGTGTCATTAGGTGGATAGCAGATAGGTATATGCAGTTTAAAACACACACAGCGAACTTAATTGTTGAGAAGTCTGGTATTCAAATCAATACAATATTTATTGAGCCCATATTTTACGTCTGAGACACTGAGCTCAGCCCTGCAAAGAATCAGGACTGAATTCAGTAGTCTGTTTTGATATAATAATTTAAAATAGTGCTTCAACATGGTAGTGGCAGTGTATTCCAAAAAGAAGTAAGGAATGCTTAGTATTGTTCATATGACCTTGTTCTGGCATTATATAAAAATCACTTATACCCTACATGTAAAAATGCAAAAACAACTAATATGCTTTATGTAAAGTTGTTTATTAGCATTGTATCTTTAACAAAGTTTTGTAGTTTTGAAATGCTCAGTTGCCCCAGGTGTCAAGGAAATGGAAATAAATATTTTTAACATTTCTTTCAGATGTACCTCACAGAGAGCTTAAAATAGTTAAAGCATACTATTAGGGGATCCCAGGCCATTTCTACCAGCCACAAAGAAGCAGTTTGCAATTTCAGCGCATTAGTTGACGGTCACATAGAAATAGTGGCGAGAACATGTCAACCCTACGTCCAGTAGCATCCTTTAGCAGGGGCCCCCTAGTATTTCCACTGTGAAGCCTGGTGTTCAGGGTTCATAACTAAGTTGTTGTAAATAGCTTCAAGCTGAAGCACTATGCAGAAAATTTAAGTCCAGATGTATATTTTAAAAACTAAAAGCAATGCAAACCCATAGCACTGTTTTAAGTTAGAGAACACTGGCCTAAATATATTTACCAGTATCATATGTTTTTCTGGCAATGTTAAAGAAAACATATTTTTAGATATATGATCTAGTGCTCATAGTTAATTTTGTATCTTTAATAATACCCTTCAGTATTTATGAAGAGGGTTTCAAAATGACAGAGCAGTTTCTATTTGAAAATAATTTTTTAACATCATTGGCTATTTTTCTCTCTTCAAAAGCAAGACACTAGTGAGTTATATTTTCCCAACATATTTAACGATCAAAGTTTATGTTTTTATATTTATATGTAATTACACCTAAATGTGGAAAAATGGATTATTAAGCATATCACCTCCTAAGCTTAATGCAAATTGTTATGTAATGTAAATCAGAGTAGATTTCAGGTTGCATAAATATAGACACATTCTGTTATGTCTTTAAATGCAAAAAAGTGTGTTTAAAGTCAAATATTTTAGCGTTGAATATAAAATTGGTAAATTAGAACAAATAATTTCACATGGAAAATATTTTGAAAAATTGTATAAGACTCATACTTGAGAAAAAACATAGTAGCTATCTTTTTTGTTATTTTCTCCCTTTGGAGCTACTGTTTATATCATTTCAAAAATCCCAGAATATCTATTGTTAGGTGATCTCAACCACCTTGAGACATGGCATGTCAATCGTTGGCTTAACTTGAAGGCATTTCTGTCAAAATTTTTCTTTGATATATATTTTTTTAAAGTTTGAAGTGATATATCGTATCTATTTCCTTTAGAATTCCATTGGCCTTTCCTAAATTCTAGGTTACATTTTAAAAGTTAACTGTAGTATGGAATTTTTTTCATATTTACTTAAAAGTGGAATACCATTTTTTTGCTTTTTGCCATTTACTGGTCTGCTTCCGTTTGTATGACAGAGCAAGATTTGGTCAGATCCTATCTTGGAAAATAATTGTATTTTGATTACATTGCACATATAGTATGCCAAGTGATGTTCACCTAGGAGAGTAATTGATTAGCTGAACCTATACTCCTATCCGTGGAAATGTCAAGGGCATCCTTAACTTCCAATACACCAAGACCAAAGAAACAGTTTTAAAGGTCTAAGTCAATTCTCTGTTGCTCTTCTCTCATAGTGATTCAGTTTTAGTCATAATGCACCTCAAACAAAATTTCAGTAGCTTTGCTAAAGTTAAAGACCCTTTTGGTTTATTTTGTACAAGCTGCTTTACCATGTGATTTAAATGCTAGTTATAGTGAGATATGCTAAATAAGGGAACTTCTTCCTCAATTCTGAAATGTCAGAACAGAAAATTATTGCTCCCTTTCCCATGAAGTTTCTTGAAGTGATAGATTTTGTATTTCAGGAACACCTAGAAACGAGTGTTATGGCTTCACCACAAATAATTTTTTGCATAGCAGTACTTTAGTAACTGGACAGCATGGAAAAAAAAATTAATTCGAGCTTACTTTTAACCAAAGAGTGATTTTTGACTGCTCTTTACCCCTTAAAAGTTTTTTCCATTGTTTGGGTTTGATACAGATGAAATATGTAAGAATTTCTTGATTCTTTTGGTTTTCTTTTAGATAAACACAGTTGAAAATCTCCAAGGGAAACTTTTTAGCTCGAGATCTACTTTTGAAAAAAACCTCTCGCAGACATATAATTATACTTTTGATTGATATAAAGTCAAATACAGCATGTATCCCCCTTTGCACACACACTGTTTTTCTCTCTCAGAAAAACATTGGGCAGTCTGATTTGGTAGAAGGAATAGAAGAAAAAACAATATTTTTAGCCATTCAGTTCGAATTCAGTCATAACAGGAAAAGTTGCCACTACATTATGTTAGTATTTTTTTCAGGCCAAGTTCTAGGCCCCGTAGACGACTCATACAACTTGGGATTATCTGTTTGTTCTGTTAAATGTGATATGTAAAACATACCAATATTTACTATGGTCATTTTTTTGCTGCTTAAACAAAATAAAATGGGTTTATGTACTTCACTCTTAGGCTTTTTTTTTTCTTTCACATTTTCCCATATTGAATCAATTTTCATTTTCTTTAACTAAAAAACATCTATTATGTTAAAAATATGCAGTAAAATAATAATGTCCCACAGCTCTTGAAAACCTTTATATTGGGGCAGATTTCTTTTTTTTCTTTTTTTTTTTTTTTCTGAAATTTAGTCTGACTGGAATGAAACCTACGAGCAGTCATCCCTCATCTCTCAACAACTCCAAAGAACATCTCAGGACACGAACTAAGGAATTACATGTTCTGTTGAACCCTTAGAGGATGCTTATAAGTAAAAGCCTATGTTTAACAGACTTGGAACAGGACACTGACTTACCCTCCTCCTCTTACAAAAAACAGATCATTATAATTACACTCTCTGCTTATATAGTATCTTCTACACTTTACAGACTTTTAAAAAGTACTTCCAATTTATATTGGAAAGTATTTCCAACTTATATTTTGTGTCTACTCACTTGTGGGAAATCATAGATAAGTAACAGAAGGAGGGGGAAAGGTGAAACCTCTTGATTTTTAGTGCATTTATTCTCTTCTGAACAGCGCAACCTTTCTCCTGTCTTTATTAATACTTACTTTGACCTAGAGAGCTGCACAGCAGGTGTTAAAACACAATATGCTGAGTTCATAGAATAGCTAACATCCAGGCAAGTACTGGCAAATGTGGCCAGCTATTTGAGTATTTCAAAATGTGCGATTTTCTGGCATTGTGGGTTTAAAACATATACAGCCTCCCTCAGAAGCGTAGCATTTACTGCGTTTCATAGCCCCTTGAGGGTACTAGATCAGGTATGCAGGGAGGAAGTCTTGTTCTCAAAGGAGTTGCTCTTGACCTGGGAGACCTCTCAGATGGAGAATAATTACACACAACTAGTTGTCACCATGATGCCCTCTCCTCCGAGATGGAGAAAGTTGCTGGAAGTCTAATCTAGAGCCAGGGCACACTGGTGTTGGCAAGAGAAGCTGACTCAACCTTTAACCTGTTGTCTCTCAGTTTTAGCTGGTAGCGCCACAGGCCCCTGGCTGTGGGAAGTGATAGTTTTAGTGAAGCTCTTTTATTTATTCATTTAGGAAATATTTACCAAACCCTTACTATGTGCCAGACACTGTTTTGGCAAAGGGCATCTAGTGGTGAGTAAGACAGATATGCTGAAGACCCCTTCCTTTATAGCCTTTGTTCATATCCTTTCCACAGGACTATAAGCTGGACTCCTGGGAGTGAGTCCCTGGGCTTGGTCTAGCATCTCAAAAGGAGTAGGTTAGTCATTAATAAAAATGCATTGAAATGGGCATCACTTGGCTACAGTGGGATACTAGGAAAGAGGATGCATTAGATTCAGGAAAGCTTTACAAATGATGGCTACCTAAAATATAAGTATAATGGTCATCTGTTTTATCACATCATAAGAATTCTTTAATGAGTGTATGCACCAGGCATATCGGGGGCATAGAATTAAATGGTTAGGGTCGTCTTATGGAAATCTTGCCAAAGGAGAGAGCAGTGATAGAAGTATACAAAGATTGATGGGATGTTGGCCAGACAGGCCAGCACAGAGAGGTGTCACCGTATGGCTCATGGGCTACTTTAGCGAGAGCCTTTGCCTTGTTACCCTGAGGGTATCTGGAAGCTCAGTTTAAAAGAGGTGAAGATAATCTGCTGTCTATGACAGTGAAGGATCGACACTGCCAGCATTCCCTTACCAGGCTCCAGGCTCCAGGTGACTTAGAGATGCACATTTACAAATTAGCTGACCCAGGGTAAGCTGTCATCCCTAGGCTTGGAGCAGAGAAAATGTTTTTCAGCCTCCAAGACTGATTATTTTGGATGTGTACTTGCCCAAGTTATGTGCTTCGATTAACTGTTGAATTTGGCAGGTGTTTCATTCCAAAATGGCAGGTGGATTAAGACACAATGCAGTGTGGCTGAGGGTATACTATCTTTGTCATTGATCATTTTCAGCCTGGGGTATATCTTCACCCTGCACCTAAATTTGAAGTGTTTTAATGACTTTAAATATCTTACTGGGTCCCACTATGGAGTGGGCATTCAGTAAATTACTTCAGTCATTAAAAGCTGAAGATGGAGTCTAAAGTAAAGAGATGAAAGGCAGGCCCCAGCAGCACCACATCCAGGGCCCCTTTTCATCGAGAACTCCTATGTTTCACCTGAAAGACTTCTGCCCTAGCACTGACCATGCTTTCTGTTCTTTAGCCCTAGATCCAGATAAGACCACCCCACCCCTCAGGGTTCTCCAGGCTGTAGACAGGAGATGCTTTAATGTGTATGATGCAATCTGCAGCCTGGGCATCTGTCTTCCTTCTGAGGCGTAATTCTTGTGGACAACCCAACATAGGGATTTAATAAAAATGTACACATATTCTGTGAAGACTCCAACAACAAATGAAGGAGATTTCTGCCTGCCTTTTAAAATGGGTGGACCCTGAAACCCTGGTCTGTTTGAAGTGGCATTGAACCCCTATACAGAGGCTTTGGTCCTGCCTGCCATTGCTGGCCCAGAGCACCAACTCCTGATAAGACACGTCATTTACAATGAGAGTATATTCTCAGTTTTTCAGTTTTTCTGATGGGCGATTATTGCTGCTGTATTTCCTGTTTTATGTAGGTGGTAGCCCTCGGAGAAGTACCAGATGGGACTGTGGTTACTGTCATGGCGGGTAATGATGAAAATTATTCCGCTGAGCTACGAAATGCCTCCGCTGTCATGAAAAACCAAGTAGCAAGGTTCAACGATCTGAGATTTGTGGGCCGGAGTGGACGAGGTAGGTCTCTGGTTTTTAATACTGATGATGGAATAAACACATTAAGATCCTCTGGTGACATGTGGACTTGTCTGTATACAAATCAGCACCTCCTTTTACAGAATGGAATTACTGTAAAATTTTATATAAGTGCATCCAGACAAAGCTGAGTGTTTGCCTGAGCACCCAGGCCTTTTTCATTTGTCTTATGATATTGCAAATTCAAGCAATGTTTTCAGAAGAACTGGCTCCTAATATCACTGGGTATGAGGGAAGGTAGGCAGAAGAATGATTAGGGAATCAGGTTTTGAGTGATGAGGAATCACATAGCTGAGTGAATTAAGTGGCAAAGGGGAGAGAAAAATGTATTCACTGGACAATTTTCTGATAATAGAAATATTGCTCTACATTGAAGCAAGGACAGCTAGCATAATGCTCTTCATTTACCACATGTAGTATTTCTAAATGATTTAATTTATTGTCATAATCAGAAACTATTAAAATTAGTAGGAGCCTTTCCATTTGAATAAGTGGATAACATATTACTTGTGTTAGAATGGCAATGTAAAGTTGCCTAGACAAATGAATAATCAAGACTCCAAAAGTTCTACACTATTAAGGATTCTCACCATCTTATTCTCTCTGCAAATATTAGGAATCCTTAAAAGGATCATAAAACAGGAATTAATCCTTTTTAGGATTTTCACAGCTGTTACATAAAAATAAGGTTAATTTTTTTAAAGTCTCTAGTGAGACCAATATGTTTGTTTTTATTTACTTATTCTACAGAGAGACTTCTACTAGTCATTTACCTATTAGAAGTATTATGTTCATTTATTTATTAAGTCTGATTTTTCCATTGTAAGAATTTCAAGAAGATGAGAAAAATAGTCCCCTGTGGGGCTGAGATGAAATAAAAATTATCAAGCCTTGTGGATTTCCTGCAACCCAGGTTGGAGTTAGCAATTTTTAAGCCATGTGTAATAGTTGCCCTTCAGTTTGGATCAGATGTCAAATTATTACCATTGTGAAAACTTGATAAGGGAAATTCATGCAAGGCTGTTTCCGATGAGTAGTTTTAGTTTACTTTCTAGGAACAGGGCCAAGAAGTTGTACTTTTTAACTTAAGAAAAAAAAAAAAAAACGATGCATGCTAATGAGATACTGTCACTGAACTAAAGGGTTTATCTCTGCATCAAGTTTAGTTTACTTTCATTAAAAATAAAGAAGATGCATCCTATACTGGTTTGGAAAATATGCATATGTACTCATTATTTTTACCTTAGTTATTAGTTATTGATAGATACAAGGTCATGGTACAATTAAAGTTTCTCTTTTTTTTCTAGTAAGAATTGAGGAAAAATGTGAACATGATGATTTACCTGTATGCTTTAAATTGAATCTTTCTTCTTATGCAATATTACTTTATTTTTAACTAGAATATTGAATTTTAGGATTTAGAGAATGGGGTGTTATACTTAATTTTGTCTCACAGATTCAAACTCATGCCTCTATATATTTATGCTTTTGCATTATATAGATGCTGCATAACTTTTTTTCTGATCAATTTGAGTAGAAACTATGGCAAAGTGATAGTGTACTTTGTAAACCCTCAACATATTTATTTAAGAAACTTCAAAGAGAAACTAAGGGTGTGCACTGTTTTACTATATTGGCTTTTTGAGTTTTGGCTGGTTTCCCAAATAGCAATTTTTATATTTAAAAAAAAAAAGACAGACTTAACTGCTTGCAGACTTTTCACGCATGGAAGATGAAGAAAGCTTCTTTTGATGAAGTGTAATTATGTCCAAACAGAGCTGACCCCCTCCCCCTATATTTCTTATGATCTTAACTGAAGAAAGTAGGATTTTTCCTTTGAAGCAGCCGGGACTTGGTGGAGGATCTGAAATGCTACAGTCTGCTGCCAGAGGCAGGATGGAGAAATTGGTCCAGACTTGTCTTCGAGACTTAGATGGGGGTGTGGGGGGAGCGGGTGGAGAAAGAGAGAGAAATTGATTTATCACTAATAATAGATTTTTATATCACTACAGTAACATTATATGAAAGGAAACAGAAACACCAAACTAAAATGATGAGAAAAAAGGACTGAGAACACTGATAAGATAGCACTCGGAATAAAAGTGGGTCAGTTTTTTAGTGGCAGGAAACCATTTAACCTGCCTCTGTACCCTTTGTACCTGACCTCTTTTTATAACAGCTTCTTTCCAGCTTCCTCTTTAATTTTCACACTTCTCCATTTCTCTTGTTTTAGTCTAATTGACACATTGCTACCATTTTTTCCCCTGGCTTTATAAACTTTTACAAACTTTTTGTTTTCAATAATGTTAGGAAATTAAGAAAACAAAACAAACAAACAAACAAAAACACCAACCTCCAAGAATGTTACACTTTTTTTTTTTCCTTTTCTCTTGTAGAAACATAAAATGTCAGAAATTGAAAAATAGTCTTAGGTTTGGGCTTTATGGGTTGTCTTTTGACTACAACTTTTAAAAATGCTTGGGAAGAAAGTAGAGCATCAATGAAACTTGCATTAGGTTAGAAGTGGCTTACGGGTTTTAATTGTCTTTTCCTGTAAATCCTCCTTTGTTTTTTTTAAACAGAAGTGTTCAAACTGACTTTGGCCCGTAATTTTTTTTTTCTGGTGTGCTTCCTCTCTTTTGACATCAAGCATACTGCTTTTAATTTATGAGTGCTTTTAAGCATCTACAGTGTACAGAGTGTGGAATTTTGTCAGTGTGGGACACCATGCAGCTTACAGTCTTACCTGGCCTGACATTCTTGGCAGCCCCTCTGGCTAGATTTGAATTGTTTATCAGTGACAGTTCCCTGCGTTTATCTTAACTATATAGGTGGAGGACATAGTATAAAATGAGTTCCTAGGTGGAGTTACAGTTGGTCATCCCAAAGGAAGAGCCTGCATTTTTATCACTTTCAGGAAGTGATTAAAAAAAAAATGGGATTTGTAAAAAACTTTTTGATTGTAAATTTAAGGGAATGCCCACATACATACTTTACTCAGGAAATGCATTAATCTAAGATGAAGACTCAGTGACCAAGTTGGGTCATAGTTTCCAGAGGTTTTGCTTTGACATTCATACATGTTTCTTCTGAAAGGGGCAATCGGAAATGGAAGGAACCTCCTCAGCTTTTAATTGTTAAAGTACATCTCGATCCTGAGGATGTGATTTTGGAAAGCCATAGTTAAATGTTTCCTCCCCTGGACCCACCTCTTCTTAAAGGAAGTTTTTAATGGAAAATTGGTTCTGCTCTGAACATTTAGACGCTTTGTACTTGAAGGGTGAATATTCTATTTGGCTTTTGTTTCTACATGAAGTGTTTCTCTGAATTTGGGAGAAGCATAAATGACTTTTAATATTTTAAATAAATTACAAAACTCTAAATTAGAAAAAGCTCTAAAACCAGTTTAGATAAATTAATGCATAGTATCTCTAGCAGGTTATTTAGAAATGTTAATGATAATGAGAAATATACATCCTTAATTTATCAAGATTAGTCCCACTGATGATAACAGTCATCCAGTCACAGCCATTGGAGCCATGGTTAAAATTCAGTCCTTGGTGCACAGAACACTGATTTGATCCAGAAAAGCACTGCCTAATGTTCCAGTGTAAAGTAACTTCCAATCTAATGGTTCAGCTGTGTTACTCCTCCAGAGCTTTCCACTATTTTGAGGTCTTAATCTGGACCCAGTGGCTTCCTATTCACATTTCTAACCTCTATTTCTGTAGACTTTCAGTTTTCTATAACTAGTTTAGACTGCTGGCTGTTTTATTTAAATCTATGTAATGTTTACTACATCTTAGAAGACATATGGTACATTAATGGCACTTTAAAGACAGATGCTTTGCATCCTGGCTAAGATGTTACATTAGTCCATTTATATTTACTATTTCTTGGGTGCAGAGAGCTAATTGAGACACATCTAGAATTAACTTACTCTTTGCTTGCTCATGTCCTCTGGCAAAGTTAATAGAATTTTTTTTTTAAAAAAGCATTAATTTTAAGGTCAGAAAAGCCTAGGTTCAGATCTGTCTTCCCCATTTCTTAATTCTGTGAACCTGGATAAATTACTAAGCCTCTTTTGGCTTTGGCTTCCTCTTTCGTGAAGTGGGGGTGGATGAATCTAACTGGAGAAGACTAAATGAGATAATGTGCAGGAAGTAGCTGGATAATAACGGGTTTCTGATCAATATTCATTTTTCCCAGTTCTTCCCCATCTCCCACTTTTTTTATTTCCCCTCTTCTAAACCCCCTCTCCCCAACCATGGAAAAGTACAGCCAAGAAGACTTAAGACTGTGTATACTCAGTAACAAATGATGTGTGCCTTAAACAGATTTTAGGAACTTAACATGGTCTAGGTTGAAAAGAAAACCCATTCACTAGACTTGACAGCCAAAAGACCTGTTTTACATTAAGCCTTGTACATAACCTGTTCCATATTAAGTTTTGAAAAGATTGCATTAAACTTTGCATTGCTACATATTGTCTAAGATTTGTGTTTTGATTTAATACCCTCAGCTTTCAGTAAAAGAAGGAATAAAAACAAAAAAGGAAGAAAAAGAAAAAAAAAATAGAAAATGAGCTTTTTATCCATTACAGGAGCAGACTTAAATGAGTACTCTGGCCCCAGATTGCTGAATGTTTTATCGAGTCACCGTTTCACGCCCACTTTTTCCTGTCTTGTAACAGTTTGCAGTTTTGACTATCTGACATGACTAACCGTTGCAAATCTAACTGATTACAACTGTCAGTGAGTCTGTGTAAGAGAGTCTGCTGTATTCTGGAGACATCCGACCTCCAGATCTGCTACCAACTTTTCCCTCCCCCCCACACCCCAATTCATTGCTTTTAGCTCCCTGATTTGAAGCATCAGATGTAATAATTCAATAAAGCACAAGTAAAAATCCATGTTTACACTGAGAGGTGTCGTGTGCCTTCTACAAAAGCTAAGTCACTGCCAGGGAGCTCCTTCAGGATTTCACAGCAGAGATGTAGGTTAGGGGAGGGGTGAGCAGGGAGGAGAGAAACTCTGTTCCAGTAATGATGAAATCATCATACCACAGGCACATTAAGGCCAGGACAGGAGACACTGGCTGCTGTTAAAATGATTCCCATAAGAACTGCCCTCTTTTATCTTCCCATTGTAGTTTCAGCCAGTGAAAATGCTAAAGCCATGTGAAGTAAATAACATAATCAACAATGATTTACTATTGTTCTCTCATGGGGTCATGACCTCATCCTAAATAAAGACTTCTAAAATTGTCTGTGCTTGGATGTTTTCTGCCGACGAAGTTAGAGAAAGCTGAAAGAGAGAGACTCTCCCACAAGCCGACCAAGGGTTTTGTTTTCATGACAACTGTTGCTGCTGGGGTGCTTTCTTGGAATTGGAGCCTTCTCATAGTAGCACAACGAAGATGCTCTCAGCCCTGAATGGGGTTCGAGGCACCTAACGTGGCTAGCAGGGGGTTTCCGGTGTGTAGTAAGAGCTCCTCACCCGTGACTTTCATTGCCCACGCAGGGATGCTTACATGAAATGTGGACTCTGTGCTACTGTACATTTATCAACCCTATCTTTTTATATTCACTCTGTACTTTCCCCTCTTACTTCTGCAGGCAAGAGTTTCACCTTGACCATAACAGTCTTCACAAATCCTCCCCAAGTAGCCACCTATCACAGAGCTATTAAAGTTACAGTGGATGGACCCCGGGAACCCAGAAGTAAGTACTTGTCTTTCTGTTGCAAATGGAAATAAGAGTTTGTGGAGCCCCTAGGAGGCCTTGGTTCCAAATGACTTAGGGTTACTTTCACATACCCTCGGTGTTTGCAAAGTTTGTTATCTGCAGGAACTTTTAGAGAGGGACAATTGGAACTTCACAGTGAATAGGAAATGCAATTGCAGTTTGAACCTGTGCCACAAAATTGCTAAGACCTTTATAACTTTGGAAATGAGCCAAGAATTATTCCCTCACTGGAATGACTGGCTGAGAAATTTCTGCTCATCCACTCCACGTAATGGGCAGGGTAGGATAGACCCACGAGAGCTGAGGAAACAAACAATAAACTTAAAAATCTCCAGCTTAGTCCAAAAGCATTCGCGTATGTTTCCCATGGCCTAAGAATGTGTTTTAGCTTTTTAGCTCGCCCACTCAATTCCCTTTATAAAGAGCACACTGCTTAATTACAAAGAATTTATTTGCAAACGATACCTTGCTTGATTGTTACAACACTGTTGTTTGGTCATGTTCTAGTAATTGTTATAGATAGTTTCTTTAGCAGATACAGCCAAACCGGGTTTAAGTCCTCCTTGTTTTGTTTGTCTGTGTAGACATCCAGAAGGCTTAACCTGCAGTCAGTTTAAGGTACTACGCTTAACTGAGCCAGTATGTATTTTCTTCCTAAGTCTAAATTGAAACTGGTTTAATTTTCCCTGTCTCCACTGCCCGAACCGATGTGAACAAACTTGGCCTAGCGGTATTTAAATATATTTAGAGATTGCAGATTATTTAATACATAAACCTGACAATTCTGTGCCAATGGAAATGCCATCTAGACCTCTGCTTTGGCTGCGTGGATGCACTGGGAGTTCCTATCCTTTGCACTCAAGCGTTTGATTTGGTTGGTGGTGGAAATAATGTCTGGTAGAAGCTCTTCGTTTTGTGTCAGTACACCTGCCTAGCTAGGCTAAGCTCTTCTTTCCCTAAAACGAGAGAAAGGGGCTCGTAAGGTTTTGCTCTCTCCAAGTAGCGTATCTTTTGGTGATGCGAGCCCGGAATGCCTCCTGTCCCTATTGCTCCTGTCCCTTCTCACAAAGGCTGACTGCTTGCCTGAACTAGGGAGGTTTCCTGCCTCCAAAGCAAGTCTTTGAGGTTTTTGTTTTTATCTCCTTTCATGTGTGTGGCCTTTTTCCAGACTTAAAACACGGGGTCAGTGCTGGCCCCATATGCTGGTTTGGGAATATTCTGGGACGTGATTTGGGATGCTGGTGGGCAAAGCCTCCAGGTTTCAAGTCCTAGTGGCCATGGTTAACATAAGGTGGATGAACAGGAGAAAGCAAGGCTGTCTTGCTTGGTTTGGTTTTGCATGACTTTCCTGTCCCCCAGAAATCAGGGGTAATGCTTTATGATGGGAGACATTTTCTGACCTTTTACCAACTAGCCGCTGAGTTCCTGAGATGGTAGGGATGACATTTAATAATACATAAAGCAGGATAGCAAGCAGTCTTCTACCATTTAGTACCACTAATATTTTGTCTTTTAAGGAAGTTTCCTGCCCATCTGAGCTACTTTTTGCAGCATGTAGAAGAGCCATTGTCTAGTGTGTGTGTGTGTGTGTGTGTGTGTGTGTGTCCGTCCGTCCACTGGAGTTGTTGTTCAAAAGTTGATGGTTTGTGGAGGAAGCAGAGAAGGGTAGTGCTGCCCCATTCTGAAAGGAATGACAGAGGTGGGGAGCTGGTATAGCTTTGAGAGAGCCACTTCTGAGTTGTGTGACAGCGGCGCCTCTTTTCAAAGGGACTTTTGGCAGAGGGGGCTGTCTATGTGATCTCGCCAGGCTTTGGCGATTAAAGCAGATACAGACCTGTGAGTGGCAGGCCACCTGTCTCAGTTCAGGCTGAGTATCATTTCTTGTAGACTAGAAATCTCTGTGAAGGTGTGATGCCATTTTCCTGACCTCATGCAGTGACTTGGCTGGATAGAAGGATGCGTCTGGGGTCAGTAACAACTTGATCCTACAGCCTGGACTCTAGTACTAGATTATTTCCTTCCACTTTGCTCTTGGCCATCTGTTCCAAGCATTCAAATCCACCATTTTAGTGCAAAAACAGTCTAAGCCAATTTATAAACAAATGGTCATGGCTATATTCCAATAAAACTTTATTTACAAAAACAGGTGATGGGCCAGATGTGGCCCACAAATTGTAGCTGGTCGACCTTTACTTCTAATTTCAAAATGGCTTATTTTTTTTTAAATCAGCTTTTACCAGAGAAAGGCATTAACAAAAGGCTTTCTTAGAGGAAAAGGGAAAAAAGATGATTAATACAGTTGCTTTAGCCTGTCTCCCTAAAAATAATAATTCCTTACATAGTGGTTATTTTTTCATAGTGGTAATTTGTTTATTACTGTGGTGGTTTGAAGGAGTTGAGGATTTTGTACTATCGGTTCCTGTTTATAGTTGGGATTTTTCTTCTTCCTCTAAAGATCTGAGCGTGTTGAAGAGGCTGTTTTGGTAGCTCAGCTGTTTGAACAGGGACAAGTTCTGGGTTAACTATTTGGGTCTTTATGTCAGACTAGTTGGCTTAAAATCCCAGTGGTACCATTTATTAGCTGTATGGAGGAGGTGCACAAGTTCCCTGACTTCTCTTTGCTTTGGTTGTCTCATCTTTTTAAAGTGAGAGTAATAAAAATAGCATCTTGCTCATCAGTTCCTGCAAGCAAGTTAAGCGGTGTAGCATAAGCAAAATGGGTGGTGCAGAGACTGCCATGTAGTAAGCACTCATTAAATGTTAGCTTTGAGTGCATCAGTTTTCTTCAGTGTCAGAAATTTCCTGTAGAGTTTTGCTTGTAGAGTACCTTCCAGGAAACTGATACCATCTAGAGTTTGTTCTCTAGTGTATGATTTTTTCCCCCCTGAAGATAGCTTTGCTGATTTTTGCTTTATAGTAAATTATACTAATAAGTGTTATAACTCATGCCTGGGGCCACAGATACTCACACTGCCTGAGTAGAGCTGTGTAGATCTGCTGGTTGACACTATTGGTGTACAGCAAACCAAGACGGGATGCTGTGACTTTAGTACACCACTCGAGACCCTGCTTGTCTACCATCTGCCACAACTTGCTTTTCTCTCAAAAACCTGAAAGGTTTCATCCTCCTGGGTTTTCTGTCTCTGGCAGCTGAACCAGTGCTGTCACATCACAAACAACCTCTTTTCTTAATATACACATCTGGCGTTGGCAGTTGGACTCACTTCATAAGAGCATATGATCATCACTCATTACAAGATTAAAAAGCACCCCATGGCATCATCGATGTTTTTTAACTTTGATCTTTTGCAGTCGTGATTCATCTCAGTTATAAAACTTCCCTTTAAAGGAACATCACCGATGACTTATTAGAACCTTCATCTTAAGTAGCATAAACGTGGAAATGGTATATATCTTTGCAGAGTGCCATTTATTTCCTTCGCCAGCTTATCATTTCAAGATGTGACATCATGCTTCAGATCCCAAATTTGTAAGTCTTGTATGTAGGCGAGGCATCTTGACCTTCTGTTGGCAAGTCAGCTCAGCAGAACGGCTGCATGTGTCCGCCAGCAGAAGTCAGTGCAGAGGCGGCTGCAGGGGTAATACGTTTGGATTCTTCCCCCTTTTAAACCTCGAATCCTGTTAGCATCCTTGGTTCCCTTTGTGCCCTTGGATGCCACCCTTATCTGATTTAAAGAATTTCTTTGGGAGGAGAAAACTTGGCTAGCATCGTTATAGTCTGTAGTGTGGTTCTGAGCTGGGGAACAGGACTGATGGATGTTGGCTGTGTGCAGGATTGGAAAAGCAAATATCACTTTGCTCATTTTCTTGCTGTGTTCTCAGTTATCTATTGCCAAATAATGACTGTGACACATAATGGCTTAAAACAATAAGTAGCTTCCTATTCCTTGGATGGTTTACTGCTGGTCTTGCTTGGGGGCTGTTGTGTGGCTGCAGTCAGATGAGGCTGGTGCTGGAGTAGCCCATGTCCACTGCTTGGCGGGATGCCTTGGAGACTGGATAGAAGGACAGCTGTGCCTCCACCTTGTGGAGTCCCAGACCCTCTTCTTTTCCATGAGGCCTCTCCATGTGGACTCTCTGAGACTCTCCAGCACAGCATGGCGCCCCGCATGGCATCTCAAGCCTCCCTAAGAAATAGCTGCTGTTGGGCTTTCACGGCGTAGGCTCAGAGCTGTCACAGAGCTGGCTAAAGCAAGACATAGCAGGAGTCCGGATTCAGAGGATGTGACCACTCCAAGACGTGAGTGGTGGGGCAGTGGTTCATGGGATCATGAACGTCATCGCTACGACAGGGCTTAGCTGGCAGACGTCACTGTGGCAGTAGAATACATACGTTTTTCAAGGTACCAACTTCCAAAAGTCCTCTTGACCTTTTAAATCAGGAACATTTGAAGTTTTGCAAAGTGGGGGCAAGTTTCAGTTGTGGTAGCTTCATTCGAATTGAACAAATCTGCAAGTGTCAGATGAATTAAGGGTGGGCATTACCTTGTGGTACTTGGTATTAGCTGCAGCTGGTCAACACTCGTAGGGGAGAAGAACGTTAAGTGTAAATTAAGTGTTTGAGGAAAAAGAGATGTGACCCTTGTGTGGTGACATGGGAAGTCTGTAGCAGAAGTATCATATGAATCCTTTAACAGACAAGCACAAAGGTTTTGTGACCTTCTGCCCCTTTTCTGGTGATACTGGTTACTGAGTCTCTGTACTGAGCTACATCCCTGTTCCTTTTTATTTTTTGAGACAGCATCTCACTAAATTACCAAGTTTCCTGGCCTCTTCCTGCCTCAGCCTCCCTCAGTGCTAGGATTACAGGCAGGCACCCAGCTGGGGTTTGTACTTTATATCATCTGGTTTTGAGAATGCTTGGCCAGCACACCTGCAGACCTCCTATACAGGACACATGAGCGTGGGTCTCTAAGAATTTTTGTATGTCCCACCTTAAGGAAGTGAACCGTAGT